TTTTTAAAGATTTTATTTATTTATTTGACAGAGACAGCGAGAGAGGGAACACAAGCAGGGGGAGTGGGAGAGGGAGAAGCAGGCTCCCCGCAGAGCAAGGAGCCCGATGCGGGGCCCGATCCCAGGACCCTGGGATCGTGACCTGAGCCAAAGGCAGACGCTTAACGACTGAGCCACCCAGGTGCCCCGCCACCAAACCTTTTTAATCAAGTATTCCATGGGCAGAAATTTTTTTGAATAAGTATTCCCAACATATTGAAATTTGTAAATCATACACACATTTTACTAACATATTATGTGTATTATAAAGCACAAAACGGGGCGCCTGGGTGGCTCAGTCATTGGGCGTCTGCCTTCAGCTCAGGTCATGATCCCAGGGTCCTGGGATCGAGCCCCGCGTAGGGCTCCCTGCTCAGCGGGGAGTCTGCTTCTCCCTCTCCCTCTGCTGCTCCCCCTGCTTGTGTTCCCTCTCTCTCTGTGTCAAATAAATAAATTAATTAAATCTTTAAAATAAAAAATAAAAAATAAAAACGAAAACAAAACCTATAACAAGGCTCCTAGAAAACTGAACTCCTATCATACTACCATAAATAACAGCATTATAACCACCACTTACCAAAAACAAGAATGAACAATGTGTTTAAAGACACCACCCAGAAGACATGTTCCTAAAGGAAAAGAGCATTAATAAAACACAGTCAATTCTTCTTCCATGTCTAACTGGACTACTCCACTTAGACTGAAATTTTCACTCCATAATGTTGAGATTTCATTACGTGCAACTTCTCATTTTTCATTAAACAGCTCATAAAACTAAGCCTAATAAAATTCAAGTTCATAATGTTACATGCCGGAAAAAAAAAAAAATCAATCCATAAACATTTCCTCTTCAGAAATTAGTAAGCCACTACAAACTACACAGATTTTCATAAATAGCCAGATTTCATTTAAATCAAATGATGCTGAAAAATTCCAAATGGAGGAAAATTTGAAAATCACATTAATTCCGAACTTCACATCAGTGTAAATCAAACAGTGCTTCTTTCCAGGGTCCATTTTGTTCTCATGGCTTCTGCAAGGTCACTTCTCTTCCTTGGTCCCTTTTCTGCCTATGGCATCCTCGTTTTCTTAGTAGAGGTCTTAGAATACTCATTCTCACTTGGCCATTCATCCACCCCTTCCCCCATTATGCATTATCACCAACATGATTGCTACCTTATGTTAGTTTCAGTCAGTAGGGGTTCTTCGACAAGTAGCTAAAGTCATCTTGATACCCAAAGCCACTTAAAAATCCCAAGTGATTTTAAACTACAGACCCTGAAAAGAGCATCACTTCCCCTAAAGAACAGGTTCTTTAAGGAATTATCCCTCCCCTCCTTACTAATAAGGTAAAGATGGGTGAGGTTGGGCAAACAGTGGAAACCTAACACATGAAACTGGGTCTCACTATGAGCACTGCAAAGCATTAATTAATATACTGCAAGGTTTAAAAGAAGACCAAGTTCTTCTTAACTACCATTAAATCTTTATTTTATTTTCTTTTCTAAAAATCAAGTACGTAATAATGACCGTTTTAAATACTATTACCTTTGTTCTTTGCCAGTATTTTCAATGCACAAAACAGACTTTCTTCAACATATCAAGTAATCAAAAATCAAAGGGCATGGTGACCTTTAGTATAAAAAGCCAGACATACTATAAATTTGAAATCGCTGAATCATTAAGATAAATAATTAAGTCACAACTCTATTTTTAAAAAATATTAGCTTTACTTACTAGAAAAACTAGCGATCCATCAAGTCCTAGCATCTGAAATAAATAATAACGATATGCATAAATTCAAGATGCAACAGCATTTTTTATTCTATTTAGAAAAAAGGCTCACTTTCAATTATATTTAAACATAATCCTTACCTACTACTTTCCAATACAGCTTACCATTTTCAGAGAGTAAGAAACTTGTTTATTAGGGAGTTTCATATTTGGGCCTCCTTTTATTCCAAATCATATGATTGTAAAGTCAAAACAGTTCCACCCATGGTTTTAATTCTTACATTAGATAAGGAGCCAGCCAAGATTTCATGATATATCAACTGCAGTATCAGAATATTTCAATTTAAATTGTTATTTCATTTTACAGAAGTCCACAATTTGTTTGTATTAAAGGCCAAAAAACAGAAAAATAGTCAACAATAGATTATAATATTTTTAATGTTTTCACTACAAACAACACATCACTTTTCTCTAGAATACTTAAAGTTCTACTGCAACCTCCAATGACTGTAGCCACAAAATTGGTGTATGCATCCACATATGCATCCACATATGCCCAACTTAACACATAGTTTAAGGTTAAAACACTAGAATGCATGACAGAAAGAATCTTACTCTTTCCCACGTAAGCTCTTCTGCAGCTCGGTCCCACTCTAAAGCATTCCAGTTCATGTCATCTGGAAATATAATTATAGTTGAAAGATTACTGATGGAACCTGAACCATAAATAATAAAACATATGCTTTTAATTTGGTGTTTTGCAAGCTGCTGCTGAGAAGCTAAACCACATTATTTGCTTGTTAGGTAATAAGAATACACACACATAAACATAACACACATAAGGTGATTCTAGATTGTGGTTAAGTGCTAGAAAGGAAATAAATAGAATTATGTGAAAGACAGGAACTTAAACTCTATGAATCTAGAATGAATCTGGAAAATTTGAGAAAAACGAGGAAGCCAGGGGACAAGAATTCTCCGGGGGTGGGGAGGGAGTGGTAGAAGATACAGTATGAAAGGCAGACAGGGATCAGATCATACAACGGGGCTGGGGAGGAGGTTAAACCTGGATTTTGTTTTGTTCTTTAGTGTAACAGAAAAACCACGACCAGATTTTAAAGGCAGGAGAGCACTACGAACACTATGTAGAGCACGAGTGGAAGAAAGAAGCTACGCACTATGAAACTATTGTGTTAAGATGAAGAGAAGGAAAGGATGGCTGCACCAGGGTGGCAGCAGGCTGCCTTCTTGAGCCTCTGAAGACAGACTTGCTGCTCCCTACAAGGGTCCCTTGCTCCCATCCCACAACGTGCTTGTTCTCATCCTTCAGGTCTCACCTCAAATATCACTTACTCTGAGCTACCTGGAGAATCTTATTTAAAACAGACTCTCCCAACAGCATCCTCAGAGCAACCTGCAGATTTATCAAAACGTGTCACAAGGTATTTGTGCACTTGGGTACTCCTGCTTCTTCACTAGACCAGAAACTCCATGAAGGCAGGGACCTGTTTGAGTGCCTGGCACCAGGAGACACTCAGACACCAGCAATGTCCAGCGGACCTGGAGACACTGCAGTGCTGGACAGGAAACCTCTGGAGCAGGAGGAGAAGTGGGGATGGTGAGCTACCCCGGCTGACTGGCGGGCACGGTCCTGGATCTTCTTTAGAATCTGGAGTTAGACTGCTAGAAAATGAGACAATGGTTTCCTTCATGGCATCTGTCCTGCAATGTACCTTCAAGAATTCTTCTTTGATATTAAAAGTTGTGCTGACTCAAGAGAAATGGAAGGAAATAAAGTAATCTGTATCAAATTCCTTTAAAAAAATCAGAGTCTAGTACAATTTACAAATAATTTCTTCCTAGCCATCCTATAAAAGTCCTGTGTAGAGTAGGATTTTAAAACATAAAATGAGGGGCGCCTGGGTGGCTCAGTCGGTTAAGTGTCTGCCTTCGGCTCAGGTCATGATCCCAGGGTCCTGGGATCGAGCCCCACATGGGGCTCCCTGCTCAGCGGGGAGTCTGCTTCTCCCTCTCCCTCTGCCTGCTCCCCGTGCTCTCTCACTTTTGCTTTCTCTCAAATAAATAAATAAATAAACTTTTTTAAGTTAAATGAATAAAAAAACACAAAATGTGCCCTGCTTCACACACACAAAAAAATATTTACACATATGTATATCCATAAATAAATCTGCCAAAATAAAGTAAAAACAGGTTAGAAACAGAACTCGGAACCCATAAAATTTTGAAGACTCCAGTCCTTCTCCTCAAGGAAAGCTGGAAATGGACTCATGGTCACAAAGGAAGGGTAAGGATGGGCCAGCATCTATTACCCTGGGCCCCGTTGTTGGCATCGGCTGCATCCTCCCCGCCCGCGTCATCCTCCTCCTCATTGTCCTCCTCCTCCTCTTCTGCCTGATCATCCTGGGCATCGGGGTTTTCTCCCACCACGGCGTTCTCGGCTGGTGGGTTAGCAGGCTGGTCGGGGGCAACATTTTCAGCACCATTTCCTCCTGCTGGAGCCTAAAATGACAGAAGAACCCAGAAATGTAGCTAATTTGTCTCAGTTCTGCTCTATTTCCAAATCGCACTCTTCCTATTAAAAAAAAAAAACAAAACTAGCAAACAAACACAAACTATTAAAACTCCAAAAAAAGACCTTTCAAAGTCATCTTTTCTACAAGCATCTGATTTTGGATCTACTCAGCATATAAGAACATGAACAAACACACTTCACAGTGTATATATTCATTCAGTATAATTTAGGGATTTCACAAAGTATTACAGAAAATGGGTCAACAAATCTGGCTAACTTTAACACTTCAAGCACATCCCAAACCAGTTACTAGTGGGGTTACAGAAGTTTCTATTCATGCCAGCAGAGCAAGAATCAAGAATTCAGAAAGTTAAAGCCATTACCTCTTTGGATACATAAAAACAATACATTATAACATGTCACAAAACGCAAAAAAGGAGGCATTCAACAGAGTAAAAAAAAGGAGCAAGCTGTCTATCTTAACAAAAGGGCAGAGAAACTCCTTCTGGAGCTCAGTTTCAGGAAATAGAGCTGCCTCAGCCAACAAGAGGTCCAGATACGAGTTTTGACTTATTCTTAGTACAGCCAGTCAAGGACAAACTCGAAGAAAACCAAGGTTCAGATTTCCCATGACTGCAGTTGGATCTTGCAACAAAGAGAACTTTGGTTACTTTTCACATGCAGGCTGAGCAAGAAGGGAGCAGCGAAGATTCAGCCAGTGATTCCGACCCCAGGCTGACATCTCTGTACCCGAGCTCTGAGCTCCTGAGGCAAGACAACCTAGAATTACTTCTGCACCAGCATCTCCACAGTCTGCTCCTCTACGTGAACACTGGGTCTCAGCTACTGTCCAGCAAGCTCCTATAAAGGTCTAAGGACTTCCCTGGGCCCAGCTGCAACCCCTGCCTGGAGGCTGCAGGGTCGGAAGAATTCCTTCATGGAATGATCTGAAAGTCTTCGACATAGTCTTCATCAAGGCTATATGGTGGAAGCCCAGAAGGCTCTCGTGGAACCTGGACCTGGGGAGATTTTCTCAGGATGATCCCTGGCTCCTCAGCCATCATCTCAGTTGGTGGTGACCTTATTTGATCATTCTGGACTTCTCTATTTCTTTGTGTCTTTGGTACCGTTCAGCCTCCATTCTTTAACTCTGGGGAAACAGAACTCAGACTCCAGCGCAGGTGCCACATTGGAGAACGGGGGCCACAGGGGTGGGGGCAGCCCACGATGAGACTCAAACCCCACGACCAGCTCTGGGCAAGGGCCATAATCCTTCTTCATAAGGCATCTCCTGACTTTACCGACCACCTCAGGGACGAACATGTATTTACTTATATACCTATACGTTTATACTCATACAGATGTGTAACTTAATTCTCTGTTATCAGTTAAACACTTGAGGAAACAGTTTCTAATTCCTGCTCAGTAGGTAAACCTGTCCACATGGACTTTGTCAGTTCCCCATGCATCGTCCTCTGGCTCTTACTGAGTTCTGCTACCTACCAAATGCAACGACATAGTTATAGTTAAAGAAAACACCGAATTCCCCGTATGGAGTTAATGAAGATTCTAAAAGAGCAACTACATTAAATGTTTCAAAATATGAGATACAATGATAAAAGTATTAATACTAGGTAAGAAGTGTCTTTTCTTTCTAGTCTCATTTCTTATATGTGTGACTTGCTAAGGAGAAGTTACACTCAACTCTGTAGAAAAAAAAGTATGGCAGAATTTGACTGAAATCAAACTACACACTGACACAGCAGAAGTTCCTTAAATGAAAAATTAAGTTCTTAATTATTTTGAGTATCTTAGAGTCAATTTTTCATAATAAAATCTTATGAAGCATAGTTTTTGTACATAGCTAACGTTTTGACATTTTCAGCCCCATAATTTCTCAGCAAGACACTAAACATCATTTATCTTATCCTCTTTCTCTTAACACGTCTAGCAAATAAATGCTCCTGCATCTAACCTAAGCATGCATCTCTCATAAAGAAAAAGTGAAACTGCACCAGATTGTGTAACAGTGTTCCACTGATTCTACTTTTAGTAATGTTGCTACTGGGAGCAGCAAACACAAGGCATTTTAACATAAGAAGAAACTGATGAACCAAGAAAGCAGGGAGTCTCCTCAGCGTCCTGCAGCATGTCAGCATCATCACCAGGGAGTCTGTATGCTCACGTCCAGGCCAGCATTAAGCAGTCAATCCAGGCAAAGGGAATGAAAGAGCATTTCAGTACACCCCCCAACAATGCTCCCAATCTCACTCAAAAATTAAGAAGCAAAGTAGAAGTGTCTTCTTCTGATTTTTTTCATTTCCCTTAATCTTCTCCCAAACCTTTTCACTGTCCTGCTTTGCAATGAGGGGCAGAGGACTCAAGGGTTTAGATCTTAGAGAATGACAACAATTCCCATTCTTATGCGAACAGAATCGATTCAGGGGTGGAGGGAGTTACCTCATTTTGGTGGTGCCCAGCCGCATTGAAGGGTGGAGCAGCATGCTCCAGCCAAATCGGTGCTCCCCCATGGACTATCTGCTCTCGCAACCACACAAGGCTGATGAATGCACACAGTGTGCATGTTACCACAAAACAACCCTGCAAACAATCCGCCAATAAATTGTCCCTATTAAAAAAAAATTATATAGAATTACTCCAAAGAATGCTTAAAATTAAGAAATGAAAGGTAACAACATTTCATCTTAAACTAAAATTTCAGAAAGAAGAGCCAGAAGTCATAATTTTCTACGTAAAAATCAGTTTCTCAGAATTATTTCTGAGAATGGTGAAATTCTATCTATCTTATAAGCTGGCCAAATACATTTGTTTATATATTTCTTTTCTTTTTTTTTTTTTTTAAAGATTGTATTTATTTATTTGAC